CAGATTAAAATAAAACATTTCGCTTACTCGTTTTGGGTGTGATTATCTGCACCGTATTGCTGCCTGTACGCGTAATAGGCCGTCTCCAGCACCCAGACATCGAGGCAGGTTGACTGAAAACCTGGATACTCAGTAATACAAGTCATTTGGGTTTCAGGCCTTTGTTCCTCCACCTTTTGCCACACTTGCCCGATTTCCGCACAACAAACACTTTCATGTGTTGTCGGCATTGGCTGACAAGTTCCACACTCGCACCTTTGACAATTTTATATAAAACACCCACGGACGCTCAATTTAAAAAACTTCTGTTGCATTCTTTTAGATTGGAAACTTGCTTTATTAAGTTTTCAGGTCAAAAACAAATAAATTACACAATGAATTAAATACCAGTCTGTGTTTACGAGACGATCGGCATCGCTATCAACCGGTTCTGTGTTGTCTTCGTGCGGATCATTCCGGTGAACTCTACGCAGCTCATATTGATAAGGACGTGGCCCAGACTCTCCTAAAGGTTCTGAGTTATCCCCATCGCTGTCATATAAGTTTAAGGCATTCGAGTCGCTTCCCTCTGATAAAACATCGTCCGAACTACAGCTACTTGAACGAGCTGCCATACCAATGTCACTGTGAAGTCCGTGTTGCGCAATATTTTAGTTCCACCGCTTACGTCACGACCTCTCTCTATTGTTTTCACCGGAAGTGAAATTTCAGTATAAAATGCCGATTTCTCCTTAAATAAGTCGAATTGGGCAAAACCAATTGCAGATTCGTTTTCTATGACACTTTTTACATGGAATAAGAAAAACATGTATTCTTGGGTTTACAGGCCCTTTAAGTTTGGCCATCAAGCTTAGGGATCAGAGGTTAATTCCTTCTTGGCGCGTTGCCTTTCCTGAAGGTTGTGAGTTTTGAGGTTCCAAATTCTCAGTGTGCCAGAGTCACTTAGGCTAATTTCTACTTAAGACATGTTCGTTCCTCTGTTTATTTTATTTTCTGGAATTTTAGTGATTTGTCAGTAATTTTAGTAATGGGTTAATTGTGTTAGTAATGTGTTAACTGTATTATTCCTGTACCTGCACTTGTCCTGTTGTGTAAGAGTAAACACCGATTTCCCTTATGTAATTCCTGTTTAATTGACCGCTCCTAGCTCATATTTGGTTTTGAGTTATTTTCCCCTTTTCCTGTATCTTACTATAAGTTACAACCGTTTGCTCAGTAAGTTCAGTTGATTTGTTGCCTTCCAGAGAGTGCCCTTAAAGCGGATTCCGAGCTATACTAGCTTTTGGTATGTTTCAGTATTTTATGTTTGTTTTGAGCCCTAAGCTTAGCATGTATTTGTTTCCATTTGTATTTTTGTAGTGATTTTCGGGTTAGAATTTGCTTAGTTTAGCCACATATTCCTTTTATCTTACTACTGTATTTTATTTATTTACTCTGACCTTTGTCACACAGCAAGTAATTTCTCTGCTATATAAACTGGAATTGTTTTCGTATTAGCAGCTGTAATATTTTGCTTATCTGCTTCCAATTCAACGTTGCTGTGTTTTCAGTACCAAATTATGGGTTCATTACACTGGTAATTTCATTTTCCCCTTTCACTGTTTTATACTGTATTAGCTCAAGTTGTAATATTAAGCCTAGCTCGTAGTCTTTGTTGAATTCATGCCTCGTGTAGCTATCACTATTTTTGATAGTTTCTGTCACACAATTTCCTGTTTTCAAGTACTTTGTTTGTTTCCTTTCTTTTACTGAATTATTTCTGTCTGTAGGTTATCTTTTAGTGTTAAGTACTTTCTCCTAATCCATTTTAATCTTGTTACATCATTTAGCTCATTGGAGCTTTGTTTTCTTATTTATTGTTTAGTGTCACTCGTTCCCGTTTTTTTGTACCGTTGCATCTATTGCTGTGTAATAAACTTGTAAATCTTCCCTCGGATCTTTTGTTCTTATGTCGACCGTTTTGGCCGTCTTTCATCAGTTGGCTGACTACCGTAATCCTTAGACAACACGCACGTCTTTATCGTTTTGAGGCAAAGTGAATTACAAACTCAGGGTCAGGCAGGATTTCAGTCACATCCTGTTGGAACGTGAGGTGTACTCTGTAAATAAGGTATAAAATGAGTTCCTTAAACTATCTTGTTCAAACTCCCTGACGAGATCTGTGTAGTCAAACGAAACCGGTTGGAGAAATAAATCAAGTTGACAATATTTGTTGCTGTGTGTGAAAATCTCAAAGAAAAAAGAATTTTTCTTAGAGTTATTATTGCATAATTTTCTTTGATATTACCGTTTCTAGGAAAAGGAGAGGAACTTTTTAGCACCCGTCGAGCTGTTTGAAAATGGAGTGCAACTTTTTAGTTGTTTGCTTTATTTCCATGTTTACTTTTCTCTTGCCATCTCGTCCTGGTATGTACAATATTTCTAACTTTTATAACTTTGAGCATAAAATTGCAGTATCGTGAAGAAAATTGTAATATCATGTAAACTTACTCCAAAGATTGTTACTCTAACGAACGTCACGTATAGATATTAAAGGGAAATCATCCAATCTCTCTACCTGTGGTTTCAGGGAAATCTTGAGGTCCATACGAAATGAAAGCAAAAATTCACAATCACGTACATTTTAGGAGGCAAACCACGCCTCATGCTGGTTTATAAATTGACGAATCATGCTCGCTTTTCCGTAAAATTCCCGGGTCACATTAATTTCTGACATAATCACACGTCGAGCATAAACCCATTGACACCGGTTACGAAATAAGTCGTAGTCATCAAGTCACCTAGAGCAATTGATATTAGTATGTTGTAGAAAACTTATTTTCACTTTTAACTTGGGAAGATGAAGAAAGTGTGTTGTATGACCCATCTACGTAACATCTTCTGGCGGCTTGTTGGCGTCATCAACAAGAAACTGTAGAGGTCAATCCATAACTTTAAGCACAGTAAGATTAATCAAGTGATCATTTAATAATAGCACACTGAGTTAATCTCAGAATTAAAGCACGCGAAAACTCACCGTACCGGCAGGTTAACTTTAAACCAAAGTGGAACATTTTCATTCAAGTAAAAATCTATTGGGCAGTGAAAAATAACTTCAATTGCGTTAATGTTTTGTGGTCTGGATTTCAACATTTTGCCCCGGACGAAATATAATAAGCTTAATATCAGCTTACGTCTACGTCGCCGAGACTTCTCACAGGAAACATCATTTTTAAGTTACTGCTCTTCTCTTCTTCAAACACAAGACTTTTAAGGTGGCTGGTACTAGTTTTCATCTTTTTGATGGCTTGTCACTTTGAAGAATACAACAAAAAGACTGACCGAAGCCAATTGGACACTTCTACTGGGTTGAATTATATAATCATTGGTTATCCAAAAACAGGAGTCATTTCGTCACTAGCAGTTTCCATGGCAACGCTTTCAAAGGATTCTTCAAACGTATTTTTTAGCTTATGGCTCAAATAATTTGAAAACTAACTCAGTGACCCCATGAATTTTCTTAGTGATTGCTTTCGTCACTTGAAAAAGAAAATGCACAAAGATTTAAAAAAATTATACGGAGCGGAATTTCAGAAAATCTAGAAAAAGGCAATTTTCACGCATCGCAAATGTCGTTCCTATAATTTTCTAGGTTTTTTTTCTGACGATTCCTTTCAACGTTATTATCATATTGGAAAAATAAAAAGAAGGGGTCACTGGACTTGTTTTCATGCAATAGCTTTCGTGAGTTTAGCAATTCCCACGCGCATTCTGGCGCATTTTAAAATCTGGATTCTATAAGATGGACATGTGCTCATGATCTGTTATAGCTACCGCTGACTATCGCGTGTGTTCGCGCGAGCACCTACGATCTGATGTTTACAGACGTTTATTGCTAGGAAAATAATTCAATAGCCGTCAAAGACCTACTCACAAGTTCTGGCTATAATATTTCATTTCCCTTTAAGTTTCACAGTCTTCTTGCACTTCAGGCAGATTATCCTTCCCTTTTTTAGTTCTTTTTTCGCCGTCGCAAGATTGCATATCGGTTGGATGTTTCGTTTAGATACGAAGCAACCTTTATGTCTCCGAGATTCTTCTTCTTTATCTTCGTTTCTGTCTCCTGCATACACAATGGCCGTTCAACACATCAAATACACGCTGTTAGGTAAACTTATTTCAAAAGTAGAAAATAGCTTTCCGCCGCCATCTTTGTTTTGAATTTTCGTCTTTTAACTGATCTCGCGCTTCTTTCGCAAGTTTCTCTCACGCGTGAAGCAAGAGTGTCCTGTTCCCCGCGCGAGGAATCTAGTACAAGCCACCTTAGGATGTCATTTTATTTCCTTGACATTGTAAGAGTATTTCTTTAGAAATCACTCCCTAAATCTACCATTAGTAACCTCTGCATACATCACACAGTTTGATTAGTTTGGTATTTTTGTTGGCTTGCAAATCTATTTGTGTTGTCTACATTATTTGTAGACAAGAACTGAGCGTTTTCACCTGTCCACGCCAAAAACGGAATAAGGTTCCACTGTTGAACCCTTTATTAAACGTCATTGCTATAGTTGAGTACGCAGAATCATATTCTACTATCTAGAGTGCTATCAAAATTTTATGTTTTAACGGCTAACGTTTTTCTTTTTAATGAAAGTTGTAATGTCTGTTTGGTTAAATGTACATGTAGCATGCAGGTCAGCATGGAGCTGGCAGGGGCATTTGGGTGACTTTGAGAGTAAGATTACTCCCTTTTCTCTCACAGTGTCCTACTCAACTCAGCAGTCTAAAGGGTTCCTAATTAGCTTTTAAGGAACCTGAAAAAGTATCGGTTATCCACATATTGAGGTCGATTGGAAAATTCCCGACAATCGGCAATGTCACTGTTTCCCGCCTGCTTTAGATTTTACCAATATATCGGGAGATCGACATATGTCTTTCCCAGATTATTTTACACGCCATTTTATTCAATACGCTTGGGTATTGTACTTAGCAAGTGGCTAAAGGACCAGCACGCTAGAGTTACAACTACTGATTTGTACCTTACATGTCCCAAACGGTGAAAATAGAGGTTTTTATATATCTTGAATAATCGCCCGTCATCGCAGAAATCTGGCACGTGCTAGGAAAATAGAAACATTCCTGATTTTCCCAATTTGTCGCTGACCATCCCAGACAGTCGGGAAATCTCTAAAATTTTGAGTTTTCATTTCTCAAAAAGGCCTGGCACCGTGGGGAAACAGTCAAATCCCTGATTGTCCCGGGATTTTCCCGTCATGTGAAAACCAGGCTTAAAGCTTCATCTTGGCAATGTTTACTTTGCTGTAGGTGTGGAGGCCTTAAAGTTTCTCAATCCTCCATCCCAAGTGTTAAGTGGATTCATAGGTATGAACATTGATGTCAACTGTTCAACGAATGACCCATATGCAACAGTTCAGCTTTTCCACTCAAGAGACTTTGTAACATATACTGAAAGGACTTTGTCTCCTGAGAAACTTCACCTAAACAAACAAGTTTTCACATTGTTAAACCTTGGTGTAAAGGATTCTGGACAATATAAGTGTAAAGCAACAGATGGACAACAAACCATTGAATGGCCAAGCTCTCATGGATTCCTCTTCCTTTCTCAAGGTAGGTGGAACACAAATACATCTTATGTTATGTATTATTTTGCAATTCTAAACCTAGCCGGCAGTATATTAGAAACTTAAGTGCAGAGTTCATTAGTGTTTCATCGTAAATCATCCTTTTCAATTTCTTTAATGGCCATACAGGAGTTTCTCTTTCCCCAGAAAACCTTTATCGAGTTTAAGGAAAAAGGTGTCAAAAGGATATAACATTATGTATTACATGCTATTTCTGTTTGAGTTCACTCCATATTCCCAAAACCTATCTTTTAAGAAATGCTTTTAGAAAACAGTTTGGTGAGTTCAAATTAGATCTTTGGTGTATACAGGCTAATTTTCCGGTGAGATTGCATGAAATTCATGAGGTTGCTAAGATTAAAATGCTATGTGATTTGTAAGAGTTATCAATTAATAAAATAATTTTATCTAAATGAAGTTTACGTATGATGCACGATCCTCGCAGTAGATAGCGCTATTTATGCAATAGCGAAAATCAGAACTGAAAAAAAACAGGCCTGTACGGGACTCGAACCACTGACCTCTGCGATACTAGTGCAGCGCTCTACCAATTGAGCTAACAAGCCAACTGGGAGCAGGCCGTTAAGTTGATTCGTAATAAACCCGTGAAAGTGATAAATGAGACAATGAATATATGAAGTTCATATATTTTGAACTGCGGTATTAGATACGTATGATGCACCGTACAGGCCTGATTTTTTTCAGGTCTGATTTTCGCTATTGCATAAATAGCGCTGTCTACTGCGAGGATCGTGCATCATACGTATCTAATACCGCAGTTCAAAATATATGAACTTCATATATTCATTGTATCTCATAAATGAAGTTTATAGTAAACAACACATTTAACTGAAAAGGTCACTGGGGTAGACAGTTTTGACAATGTTGATGAACATGTCATTTAAAAGTGCTGTGTTTTCTTACAGGAAAACTGCCAGATATTATATTTGATCCACCAAGACCAATCACTGTACAGCAAGGTCAAACTGGAAATGTCACATGTCAAACTGTTGGTTGGTCAGTCAGCAAACTGCTTTGGAAAAAGCGAAGTAACTCTGGTGACCAAACTGTTCCAGACAGCAAGGTTGTACATGTTATAGATAAAACTGAAAACATGGTAAAAGCAGTCCTTACCATCACTAATGCTCAAACTCAAGATAGCGGTGAATATAAATGTGTGCTGTCGGCTTTCAACAAACAGGATTATAAGATTGCCAATATACGTGTGGATGGTAAGCTGTGAACTATTTTTATAAAGCAGCATTACGTAGCATTCTTATTAAGCCACTAACTTTGTATTCCGCGTGAAGCCATTACTATAGTTGAGTACACAGAATCATATTCTACTCTCTAGAGCGTTATCAAAGTTTTATGTTTAAATGGTTAACTTTTCTCTTTTTAATGAAGGTTGTAATGTCTACTTGGATAAATGTACATGTAGCATGCTGGTCAGCATGGTGCTGGCAGGGGCATTTGGTTGAGTTTGAGAGAAAGATTACACCCTTTTCTATCACAGTGTCCTACTCCACTCAGCGGTCTAAAGGGCTCCTGGTTAGCTTTTAAGGAACCTGAAAAAATATTCGTTATCCACATAGTAATGTCGATTGGAAAATTCCCGACAATAGGCAATGTTACTGTTTCCCACCTGTCTCAGATTTTGCCTATATATCGGGAGAACAACAGATGTCTTTCCCAGATTATTCCACACGCTATTTTTCATTCAAAAGTCAGGGGTACGCTAATAAGCAACTAGCAGTAGGACTGGTAAGCTGGAGCCGGAGGAACAATGGGCACAGTGGACCAGTGGCACAATGAGTACAAGGACCAGTGGAACAGTGGAGAGAGAGGATCACAGGAACAGTAGGCACAGAGGACCGGTGGAACAGTGGGTAGAGAGGACCAGTGGGCACAGAGGACCAGAGGAACAGTGGGAAAATAGGACCAGAGGAACAGTGGGCACAGAAGACCAGAGGAACAGTGGGTACAGAGATTCAGACTGTTCCTCTGGTCTACTGTACCCACTGGTCCTCTTTTCCCACTGTTCCTCTGGTCCTCTGTACCCACTGTTCCTCTGATCCTCAGTGTCCACTGTTCCTCAGTGTCCACTGTTCCTCTGGTCCTCTGTACTTACTGTTCCTTTGTTCCCACTGTTTCTCGGGTCCTCTCTGCCCACTGTTCCTCTGTGCCCACTTGTCCTCTGAACCCACTGTTCCTCTGTGGCCACTGGTCCTCTGAGCCCACCGTTCCTCTGGTCCTCTATACCCACTGTTCCACTGGTCCTCTGTACCCATTGTGCCACTGGTCCGCTGTGGCCACTGTTCCTCTGGTCCCCTGTGCCCACTGTTCACTGATCCTCTCTTCTTACTTTTCCACTGTACCACTGGTCCTCTGTATCCACTATTCCACTAGTTCTCTGTACCCACTCACTTTACCCTTCTGCTACATCTATATGTTAATTATTAGATATTTCAGAACCCAGTATATGAGAGACTACCCAATATATCTCGAATAATCGCCCTTCATCGCATAAGTCTGGGACGTGCTGGGAAAATAGAAACATTCCTGATTTTCCCAATTTGTCGCTGAACATCCCCAGACAGTTGGGGATCTGTACAATCTTGAGTTTTCATTTGCCAGAAAAGTCTGGCACTGTGGGGGAACAGTCAAATCACTGATTGTCTGGGATTTTCCCGTCATGTGAAAACCAGGCTTAAAGCTTCATCTTGGCAATGTTTACTTTGCTGTAGGTGTGGAGGCCTTTAAGTTTCTCAATACTCCATCCCAAGTGTTAAGTGGATTCCTAGGCATGAACATTGATTTCAACTGTTCAACGAATGACCCATATGCAACAGTTCAGCTTTTCCACTCAAAAGACTTTGCAACATATACTGAAAGGACTTTGTCTCCTGAGAAACTTCACCTAAACAAACAAGTTTTTACACTGTTAAACCTTGATGTAAAGGATGCTGGACAATATAAGTGTAAAGCAACAGATGGACAACAAACCATTGAATGGCCAAGCTCTCATGGATTCCTCTTCCTTTCTCAAGGTAGGTGGAACACAAATACATCTTATGTTATGTATTATTTGATTTATCATCTACGGGTTTATGTCGAATTAATTTGATGGCCTGCTCCCAGTTGGCTTGTTAGCTCAATTGGTAGAGCGCTGCACTAGTATCGCAGAGGTCAGTGGTTCGAATCCCGTACAGGCCTGAAATTTTTTTCAGGTCTGATTTTCACTATTGCTCAAATAGTGCTTTACTGCGAAGGATCGTGCACATATACGTTTCATAACCGCAGTTCATACATATGTTTCATATGTTTGTTGTTGTTTGATTTATCATCTACGGGTTTATGTCGAATTAATTTGATGGCCTGCTCCCAGTTGGCTTGTTAGCTCAATTGGTAGAGCGCTGCACTAGTATCGCAGAGGTCAGTGGTTCGAATCCCGTACAGGCCTGAAATTTTTTTCAGGTCTGATTTTCACTATTGCTCAAATAGTGCTTTACTGCGAAGGATCGTGCACATATACGTTTCATAACCGCAGTTCATACATATGTTTCATATGTTTGTTGTTGTTTGATTTATCATCTACGGGTTTATGTCGAATTAATTTGATGGCCTGCTCCCAGTTGGCTTGTTAGCTCAATTGGTAGAGCGCTGCACTAGTATCGCAGAGGTCAGTGGTTCGAATCCCGTACAGGCCTGAAATTTTTTTCAGGTCTGATTTTCACTATTGCTCAAATAGTGCTTTACTGCGAAGGATCGTGCACATATACGTTTCATAACCGCAGTTCATACATATGTTTCATATGTTTGTTGTTGTTTGATTTATCATCTACGGGTTTATGTCGAATTAATTTGATGGCCTGCTCCCAGTTGGCTTGTTAGCTCAATTGGTAGAGCGCTGCACTAGTATCGCAGAGGTCAGTGGTTCGAATCCCGTACAGGCCTGAAATTTTTTTCAGGTCTGATTTTCACTATTGCTCAAATAGTGCTTTACTGCGAAGGATCGTGCACATATACGTTTCATAACCGCAGTTCATACATATGTTTCATATGTTTGTTGTTGTTTGATTTATCATCTACGGGTTTATGTCGAATTAATTTGATGGCCTGCTCCCAGTTGGCTTGTTAGCTCAATTGGTAGAGCGCTGCACTAGTATCGCAGAGGTCAGTGGTTCGAATCCCGTACAGGCCTGAAATTTTTTTCAGGTCTGATTTTCACTATTGCTCAAATAGTGCTTTACTGCGAAGGATCGTGCACATATACGTTTCATAACCGCAGTTCATACATATGTTTCATATGTTTGTTGTTGTTTGATTTATCATCTACGGGTTTATGTCGAATTAATTTGATGGCCTGCTCCCAGTTGGCTTGTTAGCTCAATTGGTAGAGCGCTGCACTAGTATCGCAGAGGTCAGTGGTTCGAATCCCGTACAGGCCTGAAATTTTTTTCAGGTCTGATTTTCACTATTGCTCAAATAGTGCTTTACTGCGAAGGATCGTGCACATATACCTTTCATAACCGCAGTTCATACATATGTTTCATATGTTTGTTGTTGTTTAACATATCTTATGTTATGTATTATTTTGCAATTCTAAATCTAGCAGTATCCATTACAAACTTAAGTGCAGTATTCATTAGTGTTTCATCCTATAACCTTTTCAATGTCTGGAATGGCTATACAAGAGTTTCTCTTTCCTCAGAAAACTTTTTCCAGTTTGAGGATAAAGGTGTCAAAAGGAAATAGAATTATGCAGGTTATTTCTGTTTGACTTCAAACAATATTGCGCACTTTCTGTGCTATGTCAAATCGTGTGGTGCGGATATTTTCGCAATTACTGAAACCTGGTTCACCGAAAGGGACTCAGCTCATAGAGCGGAGGTGACTCCGTCAGGCTTCGTGTTATATGATCACGCGAGATCTGGAAGCTCCGGGGATTGTACAGCCTTATTGTGCCGTGACAGTATTAGCGTGACGAAAATCGCGGCCGGCGAGAAAAAGTCATTCGAGTTCTCTGAGTGGATAATTCTTGGTCGGGGCTCTCGGAAAGTCCGCGTCATTGTTATGTATCGCCTGCAGTATTCTTCTTCTCGTCCTGTGACTGTTGAGTCAATCATTCTTTCCTCAGAGCCGTTGCTGATAATGGGCGACTTTAATATTCACGTAGATGTTGTCGGGGATCCTGTTTGCACGAGATTTCTTGATCTACTCGAAGTGATGGATCAGCTGCAGCATGTTACTACGCCAACTCACGAGTCGGGGCACACATTAGATCTAATTATCACACGGCAATGCGGCGCCCTGGTCAAGGATCCACCTGTTAGAGATTGTCATAGATCTGATCACTGGTCTGTTACTTGTCTGCTCAATCTCGACAAGCCAATAATCACCAGGAAGACGAAAACGTTCAGAAAGATTAAGAATATCGACACTGCTGCACTGCCTAATGAGCTTGCTGCTTTAGATTTGTGTAGTTACACTCCAGACGATCTCAACGATCTGGTGCACTGTTATAACACCACTCTTGCGTCTGCATTAGACCGTCATGCTCCACTTGTTACCAGATCTATACCAGTGCGTCCTCTGGTTCCTTGGTTTAACAACGATATTAAGGTAGTGAAAAAGGAGAGGCGTAAGGCAGAGAGAATATGGCGGCGCACTAGCCTCCTTTCTGATTTACGGAGTTATAAGGACTTGAGAAATAAAACTAACAACCTTATGACGGAGGCGCGCAGGACGTTTTACAGAGAACTCGTCGACGAGAACTGTGGCGACCAGAAGAGATCATTCTCGGTAACAAAGCGATTGCTTGGTGGCGGTCGTGAAACTCAATTTCCACCTTTTAAGGATAAAGCTGCTCTTGCCAATAAGTTCGATGAATTTTTCACCCGGAAAATTGTCACTATTCAGGATAAACTCGATGAAATGTCAGTTGATGTGTAACCTCGTAACACTGAACCCCAGCCCGAAGGATCTTTGATTGAGCCAATGATCAGTTTCACCCAGCTCACTGAACATCAAGTAAGGAAATTGATTGAGACCGCGCCCAAGAAGTCGTGTGCGATTGATCCTATACCAACTCCCCTTCTTGTTGCCTGTATTGACACTCTGCTCCCTGTTATAACCAAGATCATTAATCTTTCACTGCAGAATGGTATAATTGCTGACCAGTGGAAATGTGCCTTGGTCCATCCCCTGTTGAAGAAGCTCCATCGGACTGGAACCGATTTTTCAGAATTTCAGACCAGTCAGTAATCTACAATATATTTCCAAACTTACAGAAAAGGTTGTGTTCATACAGACGCATGGTCAGATGCTCACCAATAACATCTATCCAGAGGTGCAGTCGTCTTATCGTGTACACCATAGCACAGAGACGGCCTTGCTCAAAGTTATGAATGATGTTCTTTTGAAAATGAACTCGCAACACGTGTCTCTGTTGATCCTTTTGGATCTTAGTGCGGCGTTTGACACGGTTGATCATTTCATCTTGCTAGATCGGCTTACCAAGGTTGTTGGCTTGCAGGGTAAAGCGCATGACTGGCTCCGCTCGTACCTGTCTGGTCGGAGTCAACGAGTTGCAATTGATGGATCGATGTCAAGGGAATTTTCTCTGGACTGCGGTGTTCCCCAGGGTTCCTGCCTGGGTCCACTGTTGTTCGTTATTTACACCACTTCCCTCTTTAAGGTCATTGAACGTCACCTTCCTCAAGCCCACTGCTACGCCAATGACACCCACCTCTACCTCAGTTTCAGGCCGTGTTTCAACATGTAGGAAGCGAATGAGAGTGTAGAAGTGTATTTATTTAAATCACCAAATAAGGTAATGCCCAAATACGGCAAGTAGCACATGGCGTGTCACACAACATCGTAACAGGCCGGGAGATGATGATGCCCAGGATGTCGCGCACCGCGCTATGGAAGTATGCATTAAGGACATTCAAAAGTGGATGACTGATGGGCGGCTGCTACTTAACGACATGAAGACTGAGTTTCTTGCTATCGGAACTCGTCAGCAGTTAAGCAAACTTCGTTCTTCTAGCATAGAAGTTGGCAACCAGAAGATTGATCGTTCTCCCGGCGTTAGGAAGCTTGGCGTTACGTTAGACGAATCTCTCGGGATGAACAGCCATATTATCCAGATATGCAAGGCCTCCTTATATTACATTCATAACATTGGGCGTATACCGAAATACCTATCCAAGGAATGCAGACAATCATTAATCCATGCTTACGTAACTTCAAGGCTGGATTATTGCAATAGCATATTATATGGGTTACCCAAGTACCAGCTATCGAAATTACAACGCATACAGAATATGGCAGCCAGGCTTATAACGGACACAATGAAATTCGATCATATTAAGCCTGTACTATTCAACCTTAATTGGCTGCCAGTAAATTATCGTATTCAATTCAAGATCTTGATGAACACTTTTAAGGCGATTCATGGCATGGCTCCTAGTTATTTAGGTAACCTGATCTGTATTAGATCATCGTCTAGATATTCGTTACGCAATAATAATACTATATTTTTAGACCGTCCAAAAGGGGTTATGCGCACAACTTTAGGTGCTCGCTCGTTTCCTGCCTCTGCGCCTGCGCTGTGGAACAGCTTGCCTGCGCATATCCGCACGATTGATTAGCTAGAGCTATTTAAGAAGTCTCTTAAGACTTATCTTTTTAAGCTAGCGTTTTACATTTGCACTACAATCTTATCAGTATTTTGTATTTATTTATTTACTTTTTATTCATTCATTCATTTATTGTAATTATTTATTGTAAATAGTATTTTTATTGTAATTATTTACTGTAAATGTTAATTCTCCTGCATTGTAAAGCGCCTTTGATCATCCTATAAGGTTAAAAGGCGCCATCTACGTAAAATTATTATTATTAATTATTATAACAAATAATCATATTAAACAACAACAAACATATGAAACATATGTGTGAACTGCGGTTATGAGACGTATATGAGCACGATCCTTCGCAGTAAAGCACTATTTGAGCAATAGTGAAAATCAGACCTGAAAAAAATTTCAGGCCTGTACGGGATTCGAACCACTGACCTCTGCGATACTAGTGCAGCGCTCTACCAATTGAGCTAACAAGCCAACTGGGAGCAGGCCATCAAATTAATTCGACATAAACCCGTAGATGATAAATCAAACAACAACAAACATATGAAACATATGTATGAACTGCGGTTATGAAACGTATATGTGCACGATCCTTCGCAGTAAAGCACTATTTGAGCAATAGTGAAAGAATCATATTCTACTCTCTGGAGCGTTATCACAGTGTTTTGTTTTAATTGCTGACTTTTATCTTTTGAATGAAAGCTATAATGTCCGCTTGCTTAGATATACATGTACCATACTGGTCAGCGTGGAGCTGGCAGGGGCATTCGGTTGAGTTTGAGAGCCGGAAACGATTATACCCTTTTCTCTCACAGTGTCCTACCCCACTGACTCGGCAGTCTAAAGGGGTCCTAATTAGCTTTGATGGAACCTGAAAAAGCATTGGTTATTCACATAATAAGGTCGATAGGAAAGTTCCCGACAATCGGCAATGTCACTGTTTTCCGCCCGCCTTAGATTTCTCCTATATATATCGGGAGATCGACAGATGTCTTTCCCAGAGAATTCTACACACTATTTTTTATTCAAAACTCAGGGGTACTATAATAAGCAACTAGCGCAAGGACCGGTAGGCCGGAGCCACAAGTACTGATTTGTATCTTAGATGCCGCAGACGGTGAAAATCATTTTAGAATGTACTTTTGTATTGTGAATCGTCATCGCCCGTCATCGCCGAAATCTTCAACGTCCTAGGAAGCTAATAATATTCTTGACTTTCCTAATTTGTCGCCGCTGACCACCCTAGATAGTCGGGTGATATCTACAATTTTTAGTTTTTATTTGCCATAAAAGTTTGGCACTGTGGGGGAACAGTCAAATCACTGATTGTCCGAAGATTTTCCCGTCAATGTGAAAACCAGGCTTAAAGCTTCAGCTTGGCCATGTTTACTTTGCTGTAGGTATGGAGGCCTTTAAGTTTCTTAATATTCCATCCCAAGTGTTAAGTGGATTCCTAGGCATGAACATTGATTTCAACTGTTCAACGAATGACCCATATGCAACAGTTCAGCTTTTCCACTCAAAAGACTTTGCAACATATACGGAAAGGACTTTGTCTCCTGAGAAACTTCACCTGAACAAACAAGTTTTTACACTGTTAAACCTTGATGTAAAGGATGCTGGACAATATATATGTAAAGCAACAGAAGGACAACAAACCATTGAATGGCCAAGCTCGCATGGATTGCTCTTCCTTTCTCGAGGTAGGTGGAACACAAGTACATGTACAATATATCTTATATTATATATTTTTTTGCAATTTTAAACCTAGCGGTAGCCATTAGAAACTTAAGTGCAGTGTTCATTAGTGTTTCACCATACAACCTGTTCAATGTCTGGAATGGCCATACAGGAGTTTCTCTTTCCTCAGAAAACCTTATTCAAGTTTAGAATAAAGGTGTCAAGGGAAATATAATTATGCAAGTTATTTCTGTTTGAATTCACATCATATTCCCAAAACGTATCGTTTAAGGAATGCTTAGCAGACTGTTTGGTGAGCTGATATTAGATCTTTGGGGTAAATGGGTTAATTCTCCAGTGACATTGCATGAAATTCATGAGGTTCGTAAGACTAAAATGGTATGTCTTTTGCAAGAGTTATTACTGACTAAAAGCATTTTACTTAAATGAACTCTAAAGTAAACAACACGTTTAACTAAAAAAGTCAATAGGGTGTACAGTTTTGACGGTGTTGACGAACATGTCATTTAAAAGTGCTTTGTTTTCTTACAGGAAAATTGCCAGATATTATCCTTGATCCACCAAGACCAATTATTGTACAGCGAGGTCAAACTGGAAATGTCACATGTCAAACTGTTGGTTGGTCAGTCAGCAAACTGCTTTGGAAAAAGCGAAGTAACTCTGGTGACCAAACTGTTCCAGACAGCAAAGTTGTACATGTTATAGATAAAACTGAAAACATGGTAAAGGCAGTGCTTACTCTCACTAATGCTCAAACTCAAGATAGCGGTGAATATAAATGTGTGCTGACGGCTTTCAACAAACAGGATTATAAAATTGCCAATATACGTGTGGATGGTAAGCTGT